AAGAGTTCTGGAGGCAACTCCCAGATCCTTCATGCCGAACTCCTTATAGATTTCAACCTTCATAACATCTTTGACAGTGTTTCTTGTTATGAGGATGTCATCCACATAAAGCAACAAAATAACAAGTGAATTTCCAGGTCGAAATCTGAAGTAAACGTAGTGGTTGAAATGGCTCATAGTTAAACCAATGTGTGCAATGAACTTATCAAATCTTATATTCCATTGTCGAGGACAATTTTTTAGGCCATACAAAGACCTATTCAGCTTGCACACATAATCTTCATTTCTCTTTTCTGCATACCCTTCAGGTTGCCTCATTAGGATCGTTTCATCTAGATCACCATACAGGAAAGTTGTCTTCACATCCATTTGTTCAAGTTATAGGTCAAACTTCACCACCATCACTAAAAAAATTCTAATGGATCTATGCTTTACAACAGGTGAGAACACATCATTGAATTCGACACCATCTTTCTCAGTGAACTCCTTAGCAACCAACCTTGCCTTAAAATTCTTCGACATTACTCCTTCAATTCCTTCCTTAACCTTGAAGATACACTTACAATTGACTAACCTGTCCTCTGCAGGTTTCTCTATTAGCTCCCAAGTGTTATTATAATAAAGAGATTTCATCGCATCATCCATGGCTTTCATCCATTCAGTCTTATCTCGACTCCTCATAACTTTTGTATAGTCTCTAGGTTCTTTGTTAAGAACCCCACTTGCAGAGGCATAAGCTATGAGATCTACACAGCCAAGTCTCTGAGGTGGCTTGATGACTTTTATCAACCTATCTTTTGCCAGCAGGTAGTCATTATGCATCTCCTCATCTTCGACAACAACTTCTGCTTCTTCTTCGACTTCATTTGGGTCATGCAATTCAACATCGCTATGCTCCACATCAACAGGAATCTCTTCCTGTTCCAACTCTTCTTCAAAGATCTTCGAACTTCGACTAATGTCATCTATTTTCTTGAAAGCCATATCACCTTCATTGAAAACTAGATCTCGACTTGTGATACACCTCATGTAACCTTGATCTAGGCACCATAACCTATAAGTGTTGACTCCTTCAGGTTATCCAAGGAACATATATCTCAGAGCTCTAGGTTCGACCTTGTCTTGCCTAATAGGAGCATAAGTTAGACAATAAAATACTCTAAGTTTGTCAAGACTAGGTGGATGTCCCGACCAGACTTCTTCATGTGTCTTCATTCCTAAGCCATTCGAAGGACACCTATTTATCACGTATGTTGCAATCATGACCGCTTCATCCCAAAACACCTTATTCAATCCCGCACTTACCAACATGCACCTCCCTTTCTAGAATGGTTCGATTAAACCTTTCAGCTAAACCATTTTGTTAGGGAGTCCCTGCAATAGTTTTATGCATTGCAATATCATACGCAACACAATAGCTGTCGAAAGCATCATTGCAAAATTCAAGACCATTTTTGTTCCTTAACCTCTTGACCTTCTTGCTATTTTAGTTTTCGACTAGAGTCTTCTAACTTTTGAAATTTTCAAAAGTTTCATTCTTAGTCTTCTGGATGAATACCCATACATTTCTGGAGTAATCATCAACTATGGATAGAAAATATTTTGCACCTGAGTGTGAAGGATTTCTTGTAGGTCCCCAAAGATCAGCATGAATGTATCAAGGGATCCATGTGTTATTTGTTTACCTTTTTTAAACTTCATTCTACGGGATTTACCAAATACACAAGGTTCACAAAACTTTAATTTTTTGACCTTATCACCACCTAACAGATTTTGTTTTGACAATTCGACCAGGCCTCTTTCACCGACATGGCCAAGTCTCTTGGCCATAACTTAGTCTTCGACATGGGTTTCATGGATGTCACATCTGCTGAGCCACTTACAACCTCAGCCTCAAGGGTATACAAGCCTTGTTTCTTCACGCCTCTTAAGACTTCCTTAGACCCCTTTATTACCCTTATGATGCTTTGCACTCCTTTAAAAATATATCCTTTCTTGTCGAATTCACCAAGAGAAATCAAATTCCTCTTAAAATTAGGTATATACCTAACATAAGTCAATAGCCTCATTGACTCATCATGGAGCTTGAATCTCGCAGATCCATTACCTGCAATTTTGCAAGCTTTGTTATTTCCCAGCAACACTGATCCACCATCCTGAATCTATAATCCACTCCTTACTAGAGTCACTGCGTGAAACCACCAAGATATTAGATAATTCATAACCATCTTGCACAATGGTTGCATTACCATCATCCTTTCCACAATGATTGTTAATTTGATCAGGGTATACTTTTCTTGTATGACCCTCCTTCTTACAATGATAACACTTAATAGTAGGAGCATTACCGTCATAAAAATTATTTAGAACTTTACCCTTCTTCTTCTCAAACGTACCATCTTTCTTCAAGAATTTCCCCTTAACGGACAAACCTTCACCAATAGAAGATGGCTTGTGCTTCTTTCGTTTGTTCAAATCCTTAGAGTACAAGACAGATTGAACATCTTCAAAGGTCAACGACTTTCTTCCATACAAGAGAGTTTATTTGAAGTGAGTATGAGACTTAGGTAAAGAGCACAACAACAACAATGTTTGATCTTCATCATCAATCTTGACCTCAATATTTTCAAGATCAAGAATTAATTTGTGGAACATATCCAGTTGTTCAGCCAAGGTTTTGTCTTCACTCATCTTGAATGAATATAAAGCTTGCTTCAGATAGAGACGATTAACCAACAATTTTGTCATGCAAAAACCTTCAAGTTTCATCCACACACCCGCTCCAACTTTCTCCTTTAAAACCTTTTGGAGAACCTTATCACCAAGGCTCAATACAATGGCACTGTGGGCTTTTTCTATCATCATTGTCTTCTCCTTCTCCGATAGGGTAGTGTCCATCTTCTCTAATCCTTTCAACGCTTCTAACAAACCCTGTTCAACAAGAAGGGCTTGCATCTTCAAGTGCCAAAAACCGAAATCATTCACACCGGTGAATTTCTCAATCCCATACTTTGTTGACAATATCTTCTCCTCCACACTCACCGTACCAGTTTGTTGTGAATTTATGCCGTCAAGAACAAACCAAAATATGAGAAAAAAATTGAGTTTCTTGAACAAACACAAGAAACCCTGTTAGGTTTCAAAAACGATAGAGAAGAAGAATAAAGAATTGGTTAAATGTATTTTTCTATTCACTTTCTCAATAAGAGTTCAAAAATTACAAGTGAATACCAACAATTAATCTCTCTCGACAACCTGAGAGAACTAACATATTTCTAGACTACTAAGTTAACTTAGGATACAATCTAACTTAACAATTGGACTTAGAAGCAAGGCCCAATTCGACATACTAACTTAAATTACAAGTTAATATATTTCAACATTATGCTCAAACAGACTTTGACTACATCATACACAACTTTTGTCGAACCATGAAGCTACCCTTGTCGACACTAGAGTTTGATCCAAATACCACATTATAGATAAGTGAGTTTCTCATGATGGTAAATTAAATAAAAATACTTGAGATACTAAGAATAAGGTTTAATGGATAATAAAATATTATGATTAATATGAGATCATCATGCTAGTATAAATAAAATGAGCATGAATCCTAAAGTGATAAGAGTATGAGATTATAAAAACTCTTAATGATACAGCTCTAAATCTTAAGCATATGGATAAAGCATATGAACTTTGCAAGAAACAGACCACAAAATCAACAACAAAACATAAAGCATATTTAGTACAATAATACAACTCTTAATCTTAAGCGTATGGAAAAAGCATATGAGCTTCAAAATCAAACAAGAAAGTGAAGCTTGTGAATATTATCAAGAATTAGGAACATAAGGAAGAGAGTGAAGTTTGCACGAAATATACCGTACTTCCAAGAGATCAAGAATGAAGATAGTGAAGATTCAAATGAACGAAGATTGTGAAAATGAAGATTTCGCAATTGCTATCGTTGTCGCCTCTGGTTCGTTGGTTCGCTAGTTATCTTAGGGCATGTTATGAAAGAAATAATGAATCTGTTTTGTTTTAAATTTATCAGGAAATACTTTAATCACGGTTGATATTTACAACCGCAGTGAAATGTATATGTTATTACAATGGTTATATATAAAATTGTGGTTAAAAAATTTTCAACTGAACTTAAGTGACACGCACTTTTTATAATAGAAAAAATTAAAAATATATAATTGTTAGAATTCAAAACTTGTAACTATTTTATATATATATATATATATATATATATATATATATATATATATATATATATATATATATATATATATATATATATATATATATATATATATATATATATATATATATATATATATATATAGTTTACGTATCTAGTTTACGGTTTTTCAATGATAGAATGTAAACCATAATAAAATTAGTGTTATCGTATGCGTATAGTATTTATTAAAATTAATATAATCAAGAATATTCTATTTGATTATAAAACAAAACTCTTTATTGTATTCCTACATGAACAAACAACTTACTAAATTTAGCTTAATTAAGCTAATACAAAAACCATAAGTTCATGTCACCTTATTTTTCGAGGGAAAATAGTTATTGGTTCAAACTACAACTCGTCATAATTTAGTATAAAAGTTCACATAAAATAACATCATTTCATTACTAACTTTCTTTTCTTTCCTTCATTTGTTTCTTTACAACAACTAGAAACAAATTATATTATTAATACAAACAACCTTAAAAACACAATCTCCAAATATAGCACACACATTTACCTGTCCCTCCGAAACAAACGCTAAAACTAGTGGAACATAGTTTTCACCACCACCTTTCTCTTCCAAATTTCCCTCTCCATCAAATAAATAAAACACAACATAACATTCTCTTCTCCCTATAGTTTCTTCTTCTTCAGCCGCGGCGTCTTACCGCGGCAGTAACCTTTTCTTCAAACGTTAAAAATAAAATAAAAAAATAAAAAGAGGTTTTTGTTTGAAAGAAGACAAAGCATGAAATTTTTTAAGGAAGCAAAGACTTCCTCGTACAAAAAACTTCTTTTAATATTCTCATTGTTGTTTGTGTTGTCTGGTTTTGATATCTGTCATGGACAAGATGACGGTGCATCACCGCCACCGCCCGTGCCTGAACTCGACAACTGCGACGGAATATTTCTAACGTATACTTTAACTGACAGGGAGAAGGAATATCCGCACGTGAAAAACGTGTCGAAACAAGCATGGGCGTTTAAAGCTGAAGCGTCGTTGATGAATGTCGGCGATGAAGAATTAAAAGATTGGAAGATGTATATTGGGTTTCAGCATAGGGAGATTCTTGTTTCGGCGGATGGAGCTCTTCCGGTTGACTCGGAGGATTTTCCGGCCGAGGTAGGGAATGGAACTACAATAGCTGGAAATCCTATGACAGATTTGAAAACTGCCATTGAAACAGCTGGTGATTTAAATCAAATGGCTGTTAGGGTTAAAATGAGTGGAACTCAGTTTGGACTTGGTGCAGCTGCTACTCCTATGCCTAAAACTATTAAGCTTATGAATGATGGCTTCAAATGCCCTCAACCTGGTCGTAAAGGTATTTTATCTTTTCTTGCATGCATGCATGCATGCATGTCTATATTCGGCTGAGACGTAAATAAAGTCGGTTACGATTTAATTTATAATGTGAATCATTTTGTAGGTTCAAGAATGTTTGTATGCTGCAGAAAGGACCCACAAGTTAAAGCTAAACTAAAAAAGAAAACAAAGTTCCTTCCTCGTCGCTATGGCGATCTAACCATTGCGTACGATGTTCTTCAAGCCTTTCGAACCAGCTACTATGCGCAAGTAACTATAGACAACAATCATCCATTAGGTCGTCTTGATCATTGGAACTTAACATGGGAATGGCAAAAGGGAGAATTCATTAACACTCTAAAAGGCGCATATGCTCGCATAAAAGACCCTTCTGAATGTTTATACAGTCCAGCCGGAAGATACTATGGTGACTTAGATTTCTCGACAGTTGCAAACTGTCAAAAGAAACCTATTCTCTCTGATCTTCCGACTGAAAGAGCGGAAGATGAAAAAGTCGGTAAAGTACCTTGGTGTTGTAGAAATGGTACTGTTTTACCACCTCTTATGGATAGGAACAAAGCAAGATCAATTTTTCAGTTACAAGTTTTCAAAATACCACCTGATGATAACAGAACAGCACTTACACCGCCAATGAAATGGCACATTGATGGGGTTATTAACCCTAAATACAAATGTGGACCACCAATTAGGGTTGATGCACAGGAATTTCCTGATCCTAGTGGACTTACAGCAATTTCAACAGCTGTTGCTAGTTGGCAAATAGTTTGCAACATTACAAAACCGAAGCCAAGAGAAAATCGTTGTTGCGTCTCGTTCTCGGCTTTCTATAACGAATCTGCTATCCCATGTAACACATGTGCTTGCGGTGGTTGTGATGATACAAGGAAATGTAATCCAAATGCTCCGCCTTTACTTCTCCCACCCGACGCACTTCTCGTCCCTTTCGAGAATCGAACATTAAAGGCACGCGCTTGGGCAAAACTCAAACACATGCGCATTCCAAGTAAGTTACCTTGTGGAGATCATTGTCCTGTAAGTATTAATTGGCATGTAAGTTCAGATCATAAGGAGGGATGGACGGCTAGGATAACGCTTTTCAATTGGGAAAATTACGGCTTTGAAGATTGGTTCGCTGCACTTAAGTTCGATAGGTCTTTCGAAGATTTTCAAGATGTTTATTCATTTAACGGGACTAGAATTCCTGGTATCAAAACCCTTTTCTTTCAAGGACTTAAAGGTTTAAATTACTTAGCCGGAGAAACTAATGGAACTCGTGCTAAAGATCCAAGGGTGCCTGGAAAACAACAATCTGTGTTTTCTTTTCATAAGAAATACACAAAAGAATTCAGCGTCGAGCGCGATGCTTTTCCTACTAAGGTGTACTTCAATGGAATGGAATGTTCACTTCCTCCACATAGACCTGCTAAAAGTTCAGGACATACATCTTCTATCAGTGTCATCACAGTCATTTTCACAGCACTTATGACATTCATGCTCACGACAGATCGCTTTCTCTGAGTTCTTGTGTCGGCAACTGCGGCTTTGGTAAGAACCGCATTTCGTGTCTCATCATCAAGATGGAGTGTGTGTGCCTATGACAGATCACATAATGAGTGATGCATCTTTCTGTGTAAAAGTACATAACAGTATATATGATCTGATACAAGATTGAGTGGAACTTTAAAAAGTTCAGTACATATCTAGTTCATATTACAAATTAGATGGCCTTTTTGTGTATTGATTATTAGTTTAAGTTGATAGCTGAATTTTCTCTTTTCTACCTGTCATCAATATCTTCTCTGATTTTCTCATGTGATTTGAATTCGAAAATTTGGATGGGGAGGGATAATGCTTCAGAGAACTTCAACCATAATATTTTCACCATTTATAAACCAATACAATTACAAATATGTTACAAATTACAATGTTTGTACAACATTCTTTCGATTTTCATACACAATTTCACTTGCTTTTATGATACAGAACAAGATAATAAGAAATGAAATGAATTTAAGATACAACAGTTTACTCAGGGAATTTAATTGGATCCTTTAATCAATTCTGCAAATCACGATCGAAATTTGAATGACTCTGTTATTGTCTCCTAAGGAATAACATTGACAGCATGCAAGAAGCATCACATCATTCAATAATCCCGAATGGAGAAAATATATTTTTGGTGCTAAGCTTTCTTGGCCTGCAGCAGTTAAAATAAATTTAGTCGTTAGATTTTTTATTTGTTTGTGAATTCTTAACGAGTTAAATTAAATGTTAATTAACATTTTTCCTTATAAGTTTATATATATAACCAGTCTAAGATTTTGCATTAAACGTAATGGAGATTATGACTATGACGCATCGAAAGCATTACCTTTTTCAAATATTTTTTGTGAAGCTTCATAGCCTCGGTACAAGCCTTTTTGGCATCTAGATTTCCTGTTGTGTCATTCAATATCTGCGGAAAGTTATACATGAAATATCAGAGAAACGGGAAACAATTTAACATATGCATAACAAGGAGAGCAAAATTTGTTACAAGAGATTAGCAAATTGAAAAAAAAAATTTAAAAATCATGAAGATGTGACGTGACTGACCTTGACAACATCATCCAAGCCTCGCGCTTCATGGAGTAGTGTTGTACTTTTATCTTTCAACACGCTGGCGACAAGGAAAACTGATATAGGAAGAGGAGTTTCGGCATTCTTTGCTCCATTTTTCAAATTTTCTCTCTTGAATTTTCCACATTGTCGGATTGACTTTGCTTTTCCTTTGATGCCCGCAGCTTTTTCGGAAGCTGTTTGAGCTTCTTCATACATCAAAAACATGTGAGGATCATATTCTAGAGCCCACATCATCTGTTAAAAAACTTGAAGCTATTAAGTCATTATTTTACAAAGATTCTCAGAAAAATTGTGGCATCGTTATCCCAAAAATTAGAAGCCAAACACACCTCCCATAGGTACAATGAATCACAAAAGGAAAATTCTCGACGAAACAGAACCATTAGCATCCGAAAAGCAAACACATAGTCACCTCCACCAATATGTTCTGTGCTCCAAAATTAAACCACAACAAATTACTTTCCATTTCTTAAACATAAAAGAGGGTGAGTTTTATTCAACTTTAAATGGCAAAAAAATCGGTCATATTATTTTCCATTAATAATTTCTCGCAAGCATCATATATTAAAACAACAATCACACAAAACCCATCCAATTAGAGTTAGAAAATTCTATTTCATATTTGACCATAAATAATCAAATACCTATATGTTTATGAAGTTTTGGATCGACGACTTGAGTAATTGAAGCCAAATTACTCAATTGAGCCTCCACCCCAAGAGTGCGACCAGTGCATCTGAAATTTCCTCGCTTGAAAAATTCAAGAACACAAATCATAAGAGTTTGAGAAAAAACTGAGTGTATGAAAATTTCTCAACAAATTGTATCATCAAGCATAAGTCATAAATTGTCCAAAAAGAAATAAAAGATAAAAGAGAGAATAGAGATAAGATTTTTACAAGTCTGCGCATCATATGCTCAAAGCACCAAAAGGCGTCTGCTTCATCATCAAGAAGAATTATCATTGGGGAGCATAGGTCACTCATTCCTGTTAAGAATCGTGAATTGTTAAAATGGGAAGCTTAGAAATTTTGCATATGGCATTTGGAACTTTGTTATTTGTTACAAGTTTGCAAGAAAAACTACCTTGACCGTACCCAACTTCTTTATCTATCCAAGCATAAACGGCAAGAATATCCCATAGCTTTGCCAAGTTTTCTTGCTTCTCATAAAAAACCATTGTTCTATCAGTGCGAATCACATCAAGACCTGAAAGGTGTTACATATATGTATACAAATTAATTAACATAAAATTTCAGAAATATAACACTGCACAACACAAAATTCACACCTATTTGATGGAGTGTTAACATCCACTGGATCAGTTTCTTGTCTGTCACATTTTCTAAATTATTTGCAGAGTCCATACTTGAAAGCCTATTATCATCTTGAGGAAGTACAGTCGATCCATTGGCTGTATTGGTTTCTGGCATAAGCAATGGATCTGGAATTGGTTGGCCATCATCGGTAATCACAGGTGATGTGATAAATCTACCACTTCCAACAAGAGGAAACAATTGGCGACATTCTTCTTTCCATGTAGCATATTGCCTCCTGAAATCATAAACATAAAAGTGAAATTTAAGTAATGATTTCTTAGATCTAATAACAAAACCAAACCGGACGGTTCAACCTCAACCAGTTAAGTTATGAACCGGCATTGTCAATGGTTTGGTGATTTGAGCAGTTCAAATGAAGTTTTGTCCTGGTTTGAATGATTTAAAGCAGTTGAACCATGACTCGGAGGTGTCGCCGATTCAATGTCAGGTTTGTTTTTTAAAACATTGGAACAATTACGAAATGGAAAAATGACTACCTTCGGCGTTGTCTTATTTGATCTCTTTCGTCAAATGTACTCTTCGGGTCGTAGCAGCCAAGTAGAAATTCCCAAACTTCTCCCCTAATTGATGGATGGACTCCCTGGTTCAAAATTTTTACAAATTAAACACCAATCAACCGCAACGTATACAACAACAACCAAGTCTTATCCCACTAAGTGTGGTCGGCTACATGGATCAACTTTTGCCATAATTTTCTATCCAGGACAAGATCTTTCTTAATAACCTCTCTTATCGTTAAGCAACAACATATATACAGATAAATTCCCATCTTTCTAAACTTGTACACACAAGCAAACCATAATCTTTAATAACTTTAGGGGTAAGAAAACCAATAACATGATCATCGTGGCACATACATTGTTAAAGATCATACACATTTTCCCATCAAGCTATGATTCACTATTGAACACATTGAAAAAGAGATACTACAATGTAAGAGCAAATACCCCTCGGTAGATTCGTCTCAAAGTCTTGCCAATATCCAGATATCCTTCTTGCGAAAACGCAGCATGCCATTTTCTCGGACTTAGTGTCTTACCAGGCTGAACCATGTAACAAAAATCAAGAAGATAAAAATAAAAGATAACATCCAATCATTACAAGACAGAAAATCCAAATAAATTTAGATTTCGCCATCTCAACTCAGCGCAAAAGATTTTCTCTATACAAATTGATTTACATCATTCAATGTTTCTCAAGACAAAAACCCAACAATGACACTTAATCATTCAGGATTTTTCGTATGATCCAAGGTAAATTACCAACAGAACATTCAGATTTAACTCTCAATTTATTACAACAATCTAATGAAGCAATCAATCAATTAAATTACTCTCAATGAATCAAACTTCATCGACAAAAATCAATACTTAACAAAACCGAAATTGAAATTCATCACAAAACAAAACCATATCAATGATCCAAACCACTATCAATCCATCACTTATCAACCCAACAAGCTCAACATTGCTCATACAAGCCCAACAACAGCAATTACAATAAACCCAAAAACAAAAAACGAAACTTTTGGAATAAAAACCAAACCTTGATCTTAAATCGAGAAATGGGAACATCAGTGCAATCTGGGCGAGTTTGATAGAAAGAATCAGCTGAAACTCCTGGATCTCTCCACATGATAAGCAAATGAAAGAAAAGACAGGAGGAGAGAAACCGAAAATGGAAGGATTTATAGTAACGAAAACGTGTTGGAAGCAAGAAATTGGAACCTTTTTGAAAAGATCAAGCAGACCCAGAAACCAAAACTTGTCAACTCAAGAAAATGGGACCCATACACTCAACAATGAAAAAGAAAAAAGGACAAAGAAAATTATATTATATGGATATATAATCAAATGAAGACTATTTTAAAAATTATATAGTTTAACTTTTAATTTATTAAGTATTCTTTTTATATATTCTTTGTCTTTGAAATAAATATATAAAGTCAAAGATATATATATATATATTTATATATACTTTTTATTTTGGTAAATTGAGTATTAAATTATATAAAGAGAAATGATATTTCTATACCATATTCCTATATCTATCTGGTATTTCCCAGGTCACCAATACGGTGAAATATTATAATTATTTTTTATTTTTTTAAAAAAAAATTATTTTTTTATTAAAGAGAACTGATATAAAATTGTGTGATTAACCAACCTTATAATTTCATTAACAAATCTTTTACATTATATTAACTAACTTTGATTACTCTTAAAAATTGTTTTTAATATCTAAACGTTTATTAACCAACTTCATAACTTCATTAACTATTTTTTTACATTGTATTAACCAATTTTGATTATTGTTAAAAATCATTTTTTATATCTGGACGCTTATTAACCAATTTCATCACTTCATTAACTAATTTTTTACATTTCATTAACCAACTTTATTTCACTACTTTAAAGTAATTGTTTATAAACATTGTTCATGAATACTATTTAAACAGTGTTCATGCACTATTTATGTACTGTTTAAAAAAAATTATTTTAAAAAATAGTATTTACCGTATAAATACGAATAACAATGCTCTTATATAAATAATGAAAACGAGTTAAATTAATGAGTAAGAAAAATTATTCATAAATTTTATCTGAGTTGAATTCTTAAAACAATAAGATAGATTGTGAAGTATATATATTTAATTTTATCCATTAAATTATTTTTTAAGTAAAGAAAAAATTTAAAACCAAGTAGTATTATTCTGTAATTATATTAAGGTAAAATTACACTTTTTTTTTAATTTATTAATTTTAATATATTGAAACTTTAACATTTTTGTCTAATAAGTTAATTTTTTTTTCACATTTTGGTCATTTAGAAATTTGTAATCGTTGTATTTTTTGTTACACTTTATCATTTCATATATTCAAAATTGTTTCATCCACAATTAGTACATTCACTTTATTAAAAAATTATAACGGTGCACATGTGTGATAACTTAATGGATGAAGTTGTTATAAAAAAAAAATTTAAGAATCTATCTATTATAAAAAGTTAATTTAAACTAATTGCATGTTCTAGTTGAACATTAATATTTAAATCATTGAATTAAAACTTAAATGTAATTTTAGTCTCTCTTCTTTAATATTTATAACATTAAATCAAGTATTTCAGTATTGTGGTTTTATGGTGTTATGGTTTGTCATAAACAAAGTTTTAATTGTCATGAACAAATTTATGAAATGTCAATGATATTTTATGTTTTAAAATTTCACGGATAAACATTACAGATCTATCATACATATTAGAAATTATATTACATTGTGTTGTGAACATTAAAGATTCTACATAAATGTAATGTCATAAATATACAAACATTACATTCAGGCTTGTTATTTTGTTCAAAGTTTAAACTTGTTAAATTAATGATGAACATTACTCATTATAACCCTCGTAAGAGAATTTAAGATAATTGATGTCATTACTCATTATGTTTCTCATTCCAAATGATGATTGTGTAGCGTTGGTTAACTCTTTAGCACCTTTTCATGCCTATTCAGTTCAAATGAGGCATGTTTTATATGACCATTGGTTGTCGAAGAAAACTTTTCAATTGTAGTTTTTGCAAAGAAAGTTGTTGTCAAATATCACATGAAAAAAGCTATTAGAGAAAGAATCACACTTCCCCAAATACATTCAATAAGTAAGTTTTCCATTGGGTTGAGTAGGGTGGCAAAACGGGACCGATCCGCTGGACATGTCCGCTTTTTTTGTACTTTAGTACGGGCGGGTCAAGGGTTTAGGCCATCGCCCTTTAATGTGCTCGCCTCGTCCCACCCGCCCCATTTTCTTCGCGAACATTTACATAAAATTTTGTTTTATTGGCTTAAAAGGTGTAACGTCTACGAGCTTTTTCCGCTCCGCCTTCACTTTTTTACGGGACAGACTTAAGTTTCAGATTCACATCCTCAATTATGACTATCCCTTGTCTATTTTTTTGCAGACTTTTGCAGGACGGATCTAAACAGAACAAAATACATGTTTGTCTTCCCTAGAGTTGAGAAAACCTAACTTGTGTAACCACTCTATTTCCATTAAGGATATTATTGGCGCTCTTTCGAAGCCTAATGAAATTAAATGGACATTTTAATATGTCAACTTCGTCATTAATTTTAATAAAATGATATAAGTGCATTTGGTTTGCCATATGTTAATATGACAAAAAAATTAGTTTAAATTAATATCAATTTTTAAACTTAAATAATTAAAACAAAGTTTATGATTTTTTAAAAATATTGTTTCTTCAAAAATAAATTAAAAAAAGTTCTCTAGAAACAAAACATTTATTTTTTGGAAAAAGTTAAAAAAAATTGAAAAATTAAAAAAAAATGTTTTTTTAAGTAAAAACTATTTTTTTCTAAAAAATATTTGTATTCCAAAAAATAAGAAACATAACTTCTTTTTTTAAAAAATTATTTAAAAAAATATACTTGTTTTTGAAAAAATTGTTTTTTACTGGAAAAATAATATTCTGAAGAATAATAAAATTTAAAATAAAAAATAATATATATATATATATATATATATATATATATATATATATATATATATATATATATATATATATATATATATATATATATATATATATATATATATATATATATATATATATATATATACATAAAAAAATGCAGAATTTTTTTCTTATTACTCCGAAAATAAAAAAATAACTTTTTTTGAAAAAAATTTCTAAAAATAAAAAAAAAGTATTCTGAAAATTAGAAAAAATTAATTTTTCCATAAAAAAAATTTCAGAAATTAAAAAAGATATATTTTGAAAAAAAAATCAAATAGACTTTTTTTTTAGTTTATTATCATGGATATCAATTTATATTTAAATAATAAAATAGATATCCACTTTCATATTTTAATATTTGGATTGCGTTTTAAAAAGCAAAAATATTAATTTGATTAAGAATAATCAATTTTTTTATACATCAGATAAACTCGATATATATATATATATATATATATATATATATATATATATATATATATATATATATATATATATATATATATATATATATATATATATATATATATATATATATATATATATATATATATATATATATATATATATATATATATATATATATATATATATATATATATATATATATATATATATATATATATATATATATATATATATATATATATATATATATATATATATATATAATTTTGCCCCCGATCGATGTAATTAAAGTTTCGATTAAAATTGAGTTGCGTTAGCAAGGTATGAAAAATTAAGAAATATCATTTTTTAATCATAAACTACATCATTTAATCGACTTCATTAGATCTTTTGTTGGTTTGTTGAATTCATAACAAGTTACCTTGAAAGCTAATTAAATGTTCGCTTTAAAGTTTATATAAAGAGTATAATAGTTTGCATTAAACTTATCCGAGATTATAACGTATTGAAAACATTAGTTTTCTCAAATATTTATTGTGAAGCTTCGCAACGACAATACAAACCTTTTTGACATCTAGATTTCTTGTAATTTGATTTATCTTCAATAAGTATCTGTAAAATTGTTCATAATAGATAGAATAAAAATTCATAAAAATAAATATGGATATGGATACGGACTTGGATAATTACCCACATAAATAAACGTGTATGAGCATCTTAGTACTCATCCCGTCTCATATCCGCACAATATATTTATGCATTTTAACGTATATTTATATTTTTTAATTTATATTATTATATAAAAACGTATGTCTATCAAATTTAAAAAATTTATCAATGTTAAATCATTACATATTTAATATAACTGTTCGTTTATTTTAACAATAAAGTTTTTGAAAAAAAATTTATGTATTTAAAAACTTAAAATGATATGATATTTTATAATTGACCTATTTATTTTTAATAGAGACACGGGTAACGGGTAAGAGTATGTGTATACCCATAAGACACATGTACAGGTACTAACTTTGACACACAAACGGGTATAAGTTCGAATACAGGGATTTTTTTTAAATCGCGGGTATGGGAATGAGTACTATAGTACCATGCTCATACGCTATGCAATGTCATCCCTATAACGAGAGTAATTTTTTTTGACTTAATTGCAACTTTGGTCCCTCTATTTTGTATTTTTTTACGGTTTTGATCCCCCCCCCCCCCCAATTTTAAAAACCACAATTTAGGTCCCCATTTTAAGTTGAGTTTGATATTAGTCCCCTTGCCATTTTAAGTCATGTTTTTAATGATGTGGCGCGTTGAATGAAGATGTGGCATTTCCATGTCATTTAAAATGACATTTCCAATAGAAACTGATGTTTGAACGGTTAGAATCCGGAATCAATGGTGTAGTTTAGTCGAGGAATGTTAGGCTAAGACTATTGGAACTGGTTTGGTGGAAATCGGGTGATTTTGGAAGTTTCGGAGAGTTTTGGACAGTTGGGGTTTTGGAGTACACAGACATTCGCTAGCACGTTCGCTAAGCGAGCAGGATAGCGAGTGTTCGCTAAGCGAGCTGTAGCGAGCAAGTAGCGAATGGTCTCAGACTTGGGCATAATGGAAATAACCCTCTTCGCTAGTAGCGAGTTGTTCGCTAGGCGAGGCTGTAGCGAGCCAGTAGCGAACCCTTCCAGTAGCT